ATTCTTTTTCACACCAGATCTTTCTCATTTCCTTCACCCTCCCCAATCATATTGTGCAACCCTATGATTAACTCCCACCCTCCATATTCATTATGATAATTTGATAATTAGACACAGGCTGCAGATTGCTTTTCTGCTTTCCTGTTAATAAACTGCTTTTAATAGTATCATTTTGAACCTTATATTTTATGTTAAAGACTCAGAGCTAGTCGTAATAAATTTATTGTTAAAAATTACTTATAGCGTCAAGAAGCTAAAGAAAAGGGAAGAAATTAAGAAGTTAAGGAACTGAATAGAAGATTTCAAAGGACAACTTAGGAAGACAAATCAAAGTTTTATAATGAAATGTGCAAGACACTGGAGTCAGATATTCAAAAGGGCCGGACTCGCTTGGCATTTCTTAAGCTGAAGGAACTAAAGAACAAATCCAGGCTGATGCTATGTGCAAAATATTGTATGATCCAGGAAGCACTAAAAAAGATGGAAGGGGTATACAAAGTCACTGTACCAAGAAGAACTGGCTGACACAGAAGAATCTCCTTTAGAAACAGCATATGATTAAGAGACAGTGATGATGAAGAAGGAAGTGCAGGCTGCTCTGAAGGACTTGGCAAAAAAAAAAAAATAAGGCCCCAGGAATTGAAAGAATACCAACTGATGTATTTCAACAAACAGATGCTGCTCAGGACATGCTCACCCTGTTGTGCCAAGGAATTTGAAGAACAACTACCTTGCCAACTGATAGGAAGAGATCCATAATTATTCCTATTAAAAAAAATTATTCCTATTTAAAAAAGTGACCTGACAATGTGTGGAAATTACCAATCAATATCACTCATACCACACACTAGCAAAATTCTGCTGAAGATTATACAGAAACATCTGGAATAGTATGTTGACAGAGAATGACCAGAAATGCAGGCAGGATTTAGAAGAGGTTGTGGCACTAGTAGAGATTGCCATTGTCAGATGGATCTTGGCAGAAGGCAAAGTACCAGAAGAACATTTATCTGTTTCTTTGTGCAAAGGCATTTAACTGTGTGGAGCACAACAAATTTTTTTTCTATAATTATATTTTATTA